AGGAGGGTGGCCGGGAACCGGCGGGCGGGGGGAGGATGAAGAAGAGGAGGAGGAGACGGTGCTTTTCTCCTCGTCGCTACCGAACCCTTCGCGACAAGCCCCATTGCACTCGCCCAACGCCCCGGCCCACCCCGTGAGGAGAAGGGTCAGCGCTAAAAAAAAAGAAAAAAAAAAGAAAAAGAAAAAAGATTTATTAATTTCGTTGTGTGGTTTGTTTTTGTTGTTTTTTTTTTTTTTTAACACCTGCCAGGTTGCACGAGACTATGAACACAATAACAGTCACTGAATGTACAACAAACATACACAATTAAATAAGAGAAGGGGCAGAGCAAAACAGCCCGAGCAGTCCGAGAGGTGCAAGTTCAGGGTGCTTGGGTTTTGGTTTTTTCTCTTTTTTTTTTTTTATTCCTCCAGGAAAATACCAAATCGGACCCCGAACACCTGCAAGGAACAGCGTTAGGCCTCCAAGGAGGCTGCAGCAGGGCCCCGTCTTCAAGCAAAACATGGCCCCTGCAGACAACCGGGAGGACTCCAGAGTTAAACTCCTGTGGGACATGACTTCAGAGATAGATCTTTGGGTAGTTCTGGTTTAAAAATAATAATAAATCCTATACCTTCTGCACTGCAGAAACTGGAAAAAAAAAAATCCATGCAAATGGTTGTCTTTTCTTTTTTTTTTTTTTTTTTTTTTTTTTTTTTTTTTTTTTGTCGTCTTTCTAAAAGCAGACCCTGCCACTTCTGCAATCACTGTAGCTCCTTACTTTGGAAGGAAAATTCACGATAACTTCCATTTCCAGGGATGCTTCTTTTACAATGAGGCATTCGTTTAACTTGGGACACCATGAATCACTTAATGCAGGTACCGAGGACACTGCTGTTGCTGTGGGACAGAGTAGAAACTTTGATAGGGAAGATTGAGTTCAAAAATGCCATTTTAAAATTGTTTTCTGGAGCACGTTGTAGTCTTCAGCTTTAAATAACTGCTACAATTGTCCTCAGTCTGTGATCCTTTCCAACAAAGGTGAATAGAGCAGAACATTGAAACCCCACATCTGCAGTATCATTAAGGGGAACAAGTTTGATGTTCATCTACAAAGACAATAGACCTTTTAAGACTTTAAAATTGTTCCTGTAGGGCAGTATCCGCCTGGAATATCCCATTTCCAAGCCTCCCATTTTCCTACTACTCACACTATTTCTGACTCGTTATTACATCATCTAGCAGCCTGAAGAAAGCCAAGACAAAATCTCCCTTCTCTTCTCCCACACCGACACCATTGCAACACCCAACACTGTAACTCAGAAGCCCTCAGCGACACGACTCCAAACGAATTAGTGGGAACTGCAGTTGCTTGGCCACGCTGCTGAAGTCCATGGGCTCCCAAATGCACTGAATTTGAAGACACTCATCACTGCGCTCTGGTCCTCATTAACTTTGCCAATCTCATTAATGCCCCACTACGGTGGTACAGCAAGAGAAGCAAAATCCCAGGAACAAATTAATCCACATTTTGGCAAGTCACTTGAAAGCTACCTCAGAACAGTTCTGAGCTAGCCAGTGTCTTCAATCTGATTTATTTTACCACGCACAGTAACTATGTTCACGCCATATTAACAGATATGTTAATTACCAAAGCAATACCTGCTACAAGGCTTTGCCCACAAGGAACCAGACTTTCTCTCGTCTAGTCTGAGCGTGAAGTTCTCTCACGTCTTAAGAGCTTTAACTGCATAAGGCCTGATACCACAACATGTAAACAGCCGTAGCGCTGACTCGCACGGGTAATCCTCATCTAAATCTGTGGGAGTACTTACGCAAAAGAGTCCCACATTCACACTCAGTGCGGCCCAAGAGAAAATGAATCAAAAACCCCCTCTCTCAGTTCTTCAGTCTCAACGGCCATTAAGACAAAACATCCTTCTTGGCTTTTGTTTTATAAATAAATGTATCCTATTATGCACAGACATTCTGGGAGGAGTTTTCAGGCAGTTAATGGAGGTTTAGACATACACAGTATATCCCATCAGGAGTCAGTGGAGCTGTAGTCATATTCTTGCAAATACCAGAATGTGTTAAATAACCAACCAACAAGAACTGTGAAGGAGAATTATGTAAGGGGAAAAAAAAAAAAATACACTGCCTTAAAAGATAAACCTTCTCTTTCCCTTTCTCCTGGTCCCTAAAGATAACATGAATTCTGTACATAGACCAGGTCCACCAAAGCAGGCAACCCTCACAGATGGCTTTCTGTGTCCCATAAATAGTGGTCCACTAGCATGTTTCTTACGTGTTTCCTGAGTCCAGGGCTGGTCATGTTATGGAACTGTCCAAAGGAATTACAGTGCATTGCTAACAAGGTTATTTGGAAAAATCAGAGTAACCAACTCTCCATCCAGTCTTTGAGGAGAAAGATATGTCCACTTTGAGGTGGCAACAGAGATAACTACCCTGCCTCTTCAGAAGTGTGCTCCTGTACCCACATTTTCTCCTCGCACAACTATCTTCCGGTCACAGCAGAAGCTGCTAGCTATGCAGGCTATGCTGAGCCTTTTTTGTTTACAGGCAAAAAGGCCATTCTCCCTGCAAATACTGGAAGGGAAAAGAGATGACAGTGGCTCCCTACTACCCTTATGTGCTACTATGATTTCAATCAGTTTGTTCCACACGACCCAGGCTTAAGACTGCACTTTTCCTTCTTTCTGGAACTGCTTGGTAAAATAGGGCAGGGCAGACAGCATGTAAACAGTTTGAGGGCTGGAAAAAAAAAAAATAATTTAATGGACTGCTTCGGCACATCTTCACAGCTTCATCGTTATATCCATCCCCGCCCACGTACGCCAGGAGTCACCGCTTTGCTGCTGCTGCTCTTTTTCTCCAGGCAGTCTGCTCGCACTGAGCTGGTACGTTCCCTTTCACCTTGGCTGCTGAAACAAAGACACAGGAAGCAGTTCTGCCATATTCTGGCAACTTACATGATGTCCTCCTGTTTAACGGCTCCTATTAAAAATATACACACAATATGATCTGCCAGTTAGCCTTCTGTTAGGCAAGCTTTTTCCCATACAATTGAAATAAGAAGTTGTTTACTGGAGACACTTCCAAAAAGGAAAAATAAGGGTCAGCAGACATGCCAAAAATAAAGTCCAGAGCAAGCAGAGGTTTCACTTCTCCTCTTGTCCTTTTTGTTAAAAGCTGCATAAAATAGCATCCCAGAAGGATTCCGAGGGTACTTCTTCGTGGTCACTGGGGACCTAAACCCTTTTAAAGCATTAACAAGAGCTCCAAGATTTTAGTTGAAGATAAGTGAGCATATACTTTTAAAATATATTGAGCTCCAGGATGCCCATATATCTGGGCTTTCAGGGCCGGTTACAAGTACAAGCAAATGACACCACAAGGCTTATTCATTCGTGTTCTGCTGAGAAAGTTCTTGGTTTAGTGATGTGCACTTCACTGCTGCCATTCCCGTTGGTGGTTGTAGTGATTATGTACTGGGTGGTTTGCTGCTGACTGCTTGTTTGTGATTCCAAGGTATCTGTGTGGGCTGGTGGCTGGGAAACGCCGACCTGTACCTCGCTGGAGAGCGAAGAGTTTTGTTTGACATCCAGATCAGACTGACCTTCAGATATCACATAGTGAGTCTGCATGGGGGAATATAAAAAATAAGTAATAATCATTGCATCTTCTGTAACTTTTCTGTTCTAATAGTCTAACTTTCCTGTTGCTGTGCTGGAAGACATTTTGGTACGAACAAGGAACTCTGAAATTAAGGTGTATTTCATTTAAATGTATTTGAGAGCAACATAACCTTTGTCCTTTGTTTTGAAGTGCATTGGACTGCTTTGCATTTGGTTAAACTTACAAATGGTTAAACTAATTACACAATTAACCCATCACTACAAATTTAAAAAGCGATTTTTAATACAGCTACTCTGAAAGTTTTTTCCCTTTTCCACGTGTTCTAGCACAAGTTGCATTTCCAGTGTCCAATATCAACACAGCACAACAGCCTGCCTCCTTATGCTGGACTGCTTACAAGGTAAGATAGCAGTAACTCTTCTTATTTTGTAATCCTACAGGTAACAGAAAGCTATCAAAAAGTTTCCAGAAACTGTTCTGAAATTTGGTTTAATGGACACAGCTTAGTTATAAATATTTTTAAGACTAATCAATACCACTAAATCATACCTTGTCCTGCAAATGTGATTAAGTGAACACTTTAAACTTGAAGGAGTCATGCATACAAGGGCCAGGCAGCATAGGCCTTGCAAATGGCTAGATGCACTATTTGCAGTCACCACATAAAGGAATATGATGCTATTTCGGGGGGGGGGGGGGGCGGGGGGCAAAAAAACA